CCAGTTTTGGGCCCCGCACTACAAGAAGGATGTGGATAAATTGGAGAGAGTCCAGCGAAGGGCAACAAAAATGATTAGGGGTCTGGAACACATGAGTTATGAGGAGAGGCTGAGGGAACTGGGATTGTTTAGTCTGTGGAAGAGAAGAATGAGGGGGGATTTGATAGCTGCTTTCAACTACCTGAGAGGTGGTTCCAGAGAGGATGGTTCTAGACTATTCTCAGTGGTAGAAGAGGACAGGACAAGGAGTAATGGTCTCAAGTTGCAGTGGGGGAGGTTTAGGTTGGATATTAGGAAAAACTTTTTCACTAGGAGGGTGGTGAAGCACTGGAATGCGTTACCTAGGGAGGTGGTAGAATCTCCTTCCTTAGAAGTTTTTAAGTTCAGGCTTGACAAAGCCCTGGCTGGGATGATTTAATTGGGGATTGGTCCTGCTTTGAGCAGGGGGTTGGACTAGATGACCTCCTGATGTCCCTTCCAACCCTGATATTCTATGATTCTATGATTCTATGACTCTGTAAAACACAGGCTCTCCTACCCTCCAGCCCCACCCTCCTCCTTTACTAATGAGCCCCCCACCGACCTCCTTGCTGGGGTTAGCATTGGTTCAGGCTTGATGCACCTCCTGCTTCTCCTTTTCCCCTGAGACTCCGCCCCTACCTCATCACTTCCAGCTAGACCCTGCCCACTGTTAAGGAAAAGTTAGCACATGTGACTCCATTTTGGTTTGGGGCCCACCATTGTTTAAATGCCAGCACATCATACACCAGGAGGAATAATCCTTAGATATTGAATCCCTGTGAAAATCCTCCTCCTTGTCTCCAGCCTGCCTTGACTCCCAGTATCTGGTTTTTGTCAGTCTCTAACTCCCTGTCTCTTAGCCTTGATGTGAGGCCTCCCATCCTGATAATAAAAGTTACTGATGCATAGCTTTAGGACCATGCTGTGTAATTAACATACTGGTATAGCACGAGGAATGCACCAAGCAGGGATAGGTGGTAGATAAGACAAGGGTTTGTTTATTGGCTAAGGTTTCCGATGCACGAGGGCAACATGCTTTGCTAAAAGGTATATAACCTTTGTATAATCTGCATTCAGGGTCCCCTCCTGGCTAGCAGAGGGGCACCACGCTCAAGCGTAATAAACTTAGTGTCTTTTGGGAACTCTGCAGTTGTGGACTTTGTTTCTGTGCCTCAGCCTAGATTCGAACTGTGCGTGTCCTATCAGGTATAATTCGCAGCACTGGTGTGCGTGTCCTATCAGGTATAATTCGCAGCATTTGTGTGCGTGTCCTACAAGGTGTAATTCGTAGCACTTGTGTGCGTGTCCTACCAGGTGTAATTTGTAGCACTTGTGTGTGTGTCCTACCAGGTATAATTCGCAGCAGTTGTGTGCGTGTCCTACAAGGTGTAATTCGTAACACCACTGCTCATCCACTTCCCCCGAGGCTCCATCTCCCTGCCAGGTCAGAGCCAGGCCATGGTAACAGCTGCCCTGGAACACCACTACCATATGGGGAGCCCTGGACTCTCCATCTTCCCTTGGCTGTGAGCCCTGTGGGGCAGTCAAAGAGGCTGAGGGCTTCTCTCATGTCCCCCAGGCCCCTGCCTAGGGCAGGTGGAAGGTCTGGGGCTCCTCACAGTGGCTCTGGCTCCCTGGGCAGCTCTTTCCATGGGCTGGTTCTAGCTTCTGGCCTGGAGAAGGTGTGAAGAATTGGGTAATGAAGAGGAGCAGGGCGTGGAGTCTTGGGGGGAAGAGATGGGGTAGAGGATGGGGAAGAGGGGGAAGAGGAGGGACGGGGTGGGATGAGAGAGGGTATGTGGCTCCTGCATGTATCCCACGTTTGCCTTTTGAATGGTGGTCACCCTACACTGAATGGGCTGGGCTGGGATAGGAGTGAGCTGTGCCCCTGTGGGGGAGCTGAGGCCTGTTTCCACCCCTTTGCATTGCTGGGGCAGCACAAACGGAGCAGCCAGGTTGGGAGCCTGGGCCTTAGTCTCTTGCCAAGACTCCTGCGTGTCAGACCCTCACTAGCACATGCAGCTCTGCTCTGGCTAGGGAGCATTGCAGTCAGATGGGGGTGAATTCAGCAGGTGTGCAGAGCCATCAGTGGGCGAGGGGCTGCCTGAATGGCTTCTCCTGGGGCTCCAGCATTAATCAAGTCTCTGGCATGACTCAGTCCCAAGCACCTGGCTGAAGGCGTAGGGGAAGGGTGGGTGTCCGTGCTCCTGGAATGGCCCCTGTCCACAGCTGCTGCAGAGACATGATTAAGGCAGGAGCCCAGGAAAGGCCATTCAGGAAACCTCCCCATCCCTGTTGATGGCTCTGCACACCGCACACTTGCTCAGCCCACTCCTCACCGAGGCAGCTCTTTCATGGCCCCTGGATGTTTAACCAGAGACGGGACAGTGGCAGTCCAGGTGTAACGGGAAACAGCATCCACATCCCTTCTCTTTATTGACTGCATTGACAAAATCTAAGCAGCGACTGATATGGTTCTTAATGGGCCAAAATCCCACTGGACCCCTGGCTCTCCATGGACCTGGTAAATGCTACTGCCTGCCTTGGTCTCCTTCCCGCAGTGCCCTGTCCTCCAACATCAGAGCCTCTCTGCTGGCCACAGGCCTTAGACCCTGTCTGAACCTCTGTCTATAGAGAGATGATCAGTAACGCATGTCATCTCAGGTGTAAGGGTCCAGGATGGAATAGCCATTCATCGGTGGAGGAGCTGAGGACTCTTTCTAACCCTTTCAAAACAACTGCGGCAAGAGAAACGGACGGGAGGAGGAGGGAATCTGGGCTTGAGTCTCTTGCCAGGACTCCTCTGTGGCAGACCTGCGCTCGCACACAGCTGTGCCCTGCCTTGGTGAGGAGTGGGCTGCCCCATGGATCACGCAGCACAGAAAGCACTCAGGAAGGGCCCGGACTGTGACTGAAGAACAGCTCTGCAGCTTTTTTCATGGCCCCTGGATGTTTAACCAGAGACAGGACAGGGACAGGCCCGGTGTAACGGGAAACAGCATCCACGTCCCTTCTCTTTACTGACTGCATTGAGAGAAATTCTGAGATTTGAGCAGCTAGAGATAGAGTTCTTGATGGGCCAACATCCCACCTGTTCCCTGACTCTCCATGAACAAACTCACTTTGTAAATGATGCTGCCTGCCTTGGTCTCCTTCCCGCAGTGCCCTGTCTTCCCTCACCAGTGCGTGGGGACAGCCCCTTGTCCATTGCTCCATGCCTTAGACCAGTGTTTTTCAAACCGTGGGTCGCGACCTAGTACTGGAGCGCGGCATGGAAGTCACTGGGTCGCCTTGCTCTGGCCAGCACCGCCAAACGGGGCATCAAGACGTCCGTTGGTGGAGCTGCCCAGCTAAGGCAGGCTAGTCCCTACCTTTTCCGACATCACGCTGCACCCTGGAAGAGGCCAGCAGCAGGTCCTCCTTCTAGGCAGGAGGGGCCAAGGGGGTCTATGCTCTGCCCCCATCCCGAGCACTGGCTCTGCACTCCCATTGGCCTGGAACCAGCCAATGGGAACTGCGGGGGTGAGGGGCAGTACCTGCACACTAGAGTCACACAAAACCGCTTGCGCACCTCCACCCAGGAGCTGGACATGCTGCTGGCCACTTCTGGGGCGCAGCGAGGTCCAAGGTGCCAGGACAGGCAAGAAGGCTGCCTTAGCACCCTGTCAGGGTTCCCTCCCCACTCTGAACTCTAGGGTACAGATTAGGGGACCCACATGAAAGACCCCCTAAGCTTATTTCTACCAGCTTAGGTAAAAAACTTCCCCAAAACACAAATCCTTCCTTGTCCTTGGATGGTACTGCTGCAACCACCAAGTGAGTAAGACAAAGATTCAGGAAAAGGACCACTTGGAGTTCCTGTTCCCTAAAATATCCCCCCAGGTCCCATCGCCCCCTTTCCTGGGGAGGTTTGAGAATAATCTACCAACCAAATAGGTAAACCAGATTCTTAAAAAACAGAACTTTATTATAAAGAAAAAAAAGTAAAAGAAGCACCTCTGTAAAATCAGGATGGAAAGTAACTTTACAGGGTAATCAGGTTCAAAACACAGAGGATTCCCCTCTAGGCAAAACTTTAAAGCTACAAAAAACAGGGATAAAGCTCCCTCTTAGCACAGGGAAAATTCACAAGCTAAAAACAAAATATAATCTAAGACGCCTTTCCTATTTACTTACTCTTTTTGCAATATTGAGACTCATTTTAGGATGATTTTAGGAGAAGGAGTTTTCTGACCTGATGCTTCTCCACTTCCCCAAAGAACGCACAACACAGAGCACAAACAAAGCCTCACCCCATCCCCGATTTGAAAGTATCTTCTTTCCCCATTGGTCCTTTTGGTCAGGTGCCAACCAGATTATTTGAACTTCTTAACCCTTTACAGGTAAGGAGGAATTCTAGCCTACCCTCAGCTGTATGGTTATGATACACCCCCACTGCGCTGCTGACTGGGAGCTGCCAGAGGTAAGTCTGCACCCCAACCCGTGCCCCAATCCTCTGCCCCAGCCCTGTGCCTCCACCAAACCTGGAATCCATTCCTGCACCCTAAACCCCTCATCCCCAGCCCCACCTCAGAGCCTGCACCCCCAGCCCAGATCCCTGACCCCCTCCCAAACTCCAACCCCCTACCCCAGCCCAGAGCCCCTTCCCACACCCTGAACCCCTCATCACTGGCCCTACCCCGCAGTCCTCACCCCTGCATCCCAACTCTCTGCCTCAGCCCTGAGCCCCTCACACACCCCAAACCCCTCATCCCTAGCACCGTTGGGCCATGGGCATCAACCATTTTCTTAAACTGGGTCCCCAGAAAAAAAGTTTGAAAACCACTGCTTTATACCCCATCTGAACCTCTCTCTACAGAGTGGAGGTCAGTAGCTCATATCATCTTGGATGTATCGATCCAGGATGAAATAGGTGATCCTGGCTGGTATTCTTTGTCTCCTGTGTTACGACCGCTGCAGCCAGGTGAGGAACTGACCCTTCACTTGAAAAACACCCTGATTATCCGTGCACGAAGGTGTTTGCTTTTCACGCTGTACACGACTGGGTTCATCAGGGGCGGGACCAGCAGGGAGATGTAGCTCAGAACAATCTGAAGCAAGTAAGAAGAGCTATGCCAGAATCTGTACATCACAACCATGCTGATGTCTGGTGTGTAGAAGAGCAGGATGACACAGAGGTGGGAGATACAGGTGTTCAAAGCCCTGAGGCATTGAGCATGGGATGTGATGCTCAGCACTGTTTTGAGGATCATCACATAAGAGAGGAAGATGAGCAGCAAGTCCAAGCCCATCGTTACGAGTTTGGTAAACAAGCCAAAGATACTGTTGACTCTGATATCTGAACAAGCCATCTTCATGACCTCCTGGTGCAGGCAGTAGGAATGGGAGAGGACATTGGCTCGACAATACTGGAACTGTTTCAGGAGAATGGTGAGTGGGAGTATTACAGCCACCCCCCTTAGAACACACACCAGTCCCATCTTGGCTATTCTTGGCAGGGTTAGGATGGAGGCATATCTCAGCGGGTCACGGATTGCAATGAAGCGGTCCAAGGCCATCAACAGGAGCACGGAGGATTCAATGCATTGAAGGGAGTGGATGAAGAACAACTGGGCAAAACATGCATCAAAGCTGATCTCCCTAGAGTTAAACAAGAATATACCCAGCATTGTTGGTATGGTGGCTATGGATAAGCCAAGGTCTGAGATGGCCAACATGGAAAGGAAAATGTACATGGGCTTATGGAGGCTTGGATCTGTTTTTATAATGAACAGAATGACTGAATTTCCTACTATTGAAATAAGATACATTAAGCAGAAGGGGATAGAGATCCAGAGATGGACGTCTTCCTGTCCAGGTATCCCGGTGAGAAGGAACACTGCAGGTGTGAATTTGGTGTCATTGACAGCTGACATAACTTACTGGGCAGGCCCGAGGCGTTTTGGACTTTCCTTCCTGAAAGGAAAAAGAACTGGAGACTAGGTGATATGTAGCTAGACATCTTTCTGCTCTTGGTGGAAGTCTAGAGACTCCCAGGAGCTCAAGGAAAATCAGCAAAAACACAGTCTTGGATTTGCACCACTGATAGGAAGATAGGCACTGCCAGACCTCATCAGACCTATAGTCCATCTAGCCCACTATCCAGTGGCCAAGTCCAGATTCTGCAGAGGAAGGTGGAAGAAGTTCTGCATGGGCAGCTATGAGACAACCTGCTGCAAGAGACAATTTCCCCCTGACACCTACTAATTAGACATTTTGGGGTAGTAAATCAGGAAGGTTTAGAGCCCTTCCAAGAGGATTTTTTTAAAAATCCTCACTACTGTATTTGGATTTTCTGGTCACTCATATAAACACATCCAGTCCCTCTATGAATCCTGCTAAGCTCTTGGCACCATTAATATATTACGGTTGGTAGTTCTGCAGCCTACTTGAGTATTGTTTGATTTTACAATTATGACTTTCCTGCAAAAAAACACCCTTTACAGGCCTCCACCTCTGAATGTGCCCCAGTATATCATGATTTGTGTGTAAACACATGGCAAGTGCATGGGGTAAATGGTTATTGTATTTATCTGTTTTCTGCATTGAAGCGATTTATAAACTTGTTTCATTGCCTCGTTATATATATTCTTTATTTTCTCCACTCCTGAGAGTCCAAATTATGCCACTGCCTCTTTGCAGCACATGGGATAAATTCTTAGTGCCAAGTTCTGAATTCAAAAGCATTGACTTCAACTGTGTCACTCCAGATTTGCATGTGTAAATTCAATCAGAACCGGGCTCTATTAACTTTCCCTTACCAACTGCTCCCAGTGGTACAAGTTGACCCCCCCGAGAATCACTTCAAGAGAAGCTGAAGTGCTTTAACTGGCCAGGGTTGACTGAATCCAGAAAATTTCATCATCCTACAGGATTATCTTCATCCTCACAGGACCTGCATCCTTTCCCCATGCATGGGTCTGTAGATATCTGGGCAGTTACAGCCTATCAGAGACAGTTACTTTAGTTGGATGTGGGAGAGGATGGCATCACAAATGGGTGAATAGTGAAAACACTGGTTTCAGAGTAGCAGCCTTGTTAGTCTGTATTAGCAAAAAGAAAAGGAGTACTTGTGGCACCTTAGAGACTAACAAATTTATTTGAGAATAAGCTTTCGTGAGCTACAGCTCACTTCATCGGGTGCACGATGCTTATGCGCAAATAAATTTGTTAGTCCCTAAGATGCCACAAGTACTCCTTTTCTTTTAGTGAAAACACTATGTTTACACTAATATCCATTTGCATGTGCAAGTTACTTCAGCCATTCTCATGAAACAGGTGATGGGCATGCATTACATACAACCACTCTTACAGTCCCCTTTCCTGCACCTCAGATCGACTCTTTACTGAAAAACAGACAGTGGATCTGTTCTCTCAGGACTTTTTGCAAAGTCTTGTACAGGAATAGCAGAAGCATTGTGTTCATGATGCTGAATGTGTCACAAACAGCTTTTGGACAGTTACCAGGACATAGTACCATACAATTGTTCACTGAACAAACAGTTAATACCACAAACCCATTGCAAACAATATGTGGAGCACTTCTGAAATTCTTTCTTAAGCAAAAGCCATTAAGCAGTAGTGTTACCACTATTCATAGAATCATAGAATATCAAGGTTGGAAGGGACCTCAGGAGGTCATGTAGTCCAACCCCCTGCTCAAAGCAGGACCAATCCCCAATTTTTGCCCTAGATCCCTAAATGGCCCCCTCAAGGATTGAACTCGCAACCCTGGGTTTAGCAGGCAAATGCTCAAACCACTGAGCTGTCCCTCCCCCCACTGCAGGGACACCCCAGACACCGTCCTGTATTCCTGTATTCCTTCCTGTAGAGATTCCAACAACTTTGCTGCTGGCTTTCGATATACAGGAATGTCATGAAAGTTTGATTTGTAATATTAGTATTACAATGAAAACTTTTTGCATAACATTTACACATCTGTACTTTAGTACACACTTGTCAACCCATTCTTTCTCCTCTGATATTCTTTGAGAGATTTCTCAGGTTAGAGTGGGACTTAAAATGCAGCATCTCTTATCTGGTTTCAGAGTAACAGCCGTGTTAGTCTGTATTCGCAAAAAGAAAAGGAGTACTTGTGGCACCTTAGAGACTAACCAATTTATTTGAGCATGAGCTTTCGTGAGCTACAGCTCACTTCATCGGATGCATACCGTGGAAACTGCAGCAGACTTTATATATACACAGAGAATATGAAACAATACCTCCTCCCACCCCACTGTCCTGCATGAAAAAAACTTGTACAGATACAGACAGACATCATCTTCCTTTCCAAATGCAAACAGATGGACATCGTACCAAAAGGACTGAAGGTAAAAAATCCATTCTGGAAATGGCCCAACCTGATGATCACTTTAGATAAGCTATTACCAGCAGGACAGTGGGGTGGGAGGAGGTATTGTTTCATATTCTCTGTGTATATATAAAGTCTGCTGCAGTTTTCACGGTATGCATCCGATGAAGTAAGCTGTAGCTCACGAAAGCTCATGCTCAAATAAATTGGTTAGTCTCTAAGGTGCCACAAGTACTCCATCTCTTACCTGGATTTCTTCACAACCTGAAAAGATCACAGCATCTCAGCCCTCATTCAGTCTCTTCCCAGCAAACAAAAGTCTACTAGCTCCTCTGTCCCTGAGTTAATATCTGACTGTGTCTCCTCAGGTTCTGTTCTGTCAGTCTGTGACGTTCCCCTCTGGTGTTAGCTGGACCAGTGATCTGCTAGGTCTCTCCAATCCTTAACTCTGGGAGCCAGCCTTACACTTCTCTGCTGTGAGAATCCTCATTCCTGGGCTGTTCACGCACAGCCTCTAACATGTAAGCTGCTCCCATCTACTTGCAACCGAATGACACTAGCCAATAACTTCGGTTACGCCCGATGGACACTGCAAGCTTATATGAGTTCGTCAATTTAACAAAGAAATGTATATCATAGAATATCAGGGTTGGAAGGGACCCCAGAAGGTCATCTAGTCCAACCCCCTGCTCGAAGCAGGACCAATTCCCAGTTAAATCATCCCAGCCAGGGCTTTGTCTAGCCTGACCTTAAAAACCTCTAAGGAAGGAGATTCTACCACCTCCCTAGGTAACGCATTCCAGTGTTTCACCACCCTCTTAGTGAAAAAGTTTTTCCTAATATCCAATCTAAACCTCCCCCACTGCAACTTGAGACCATTACTCCTCGTTCTGTCATCTGATACCATTGAGAACAGTCTAGAGCCATCCTCTTTGGAACCCCCTTTCAGGTAGTTGAAAGCAGCTATCAAATCCCCCCCTCATTCTTCTCTTCTGAAGACTAAACAATCCCAGCTCCCTCAGCCTCTCCTCATAAGTCATGTGTTCTAGACCCCTAATCATTTTTGTTGCCCTTCGCTGGACTCTCTCCAATTTATCCACATCCTTCTTGTAGTGTGGGGCCCAAAACTGGACACAGTACTCCAGATGAGGCCTCACCAATGTCGAATAGAGGGGAACGATCACGTCCCTCGATCTGCTCGCTATGCCCCTACTTATACATCCCAAAATGCCATTGGCTTTCTTGGCAACAAGGGCACACTGCTGACTCATATCCAGCTTCTCGTCCACTGTCACCCCTAGGTCCTTTTCCGCAGAACTGCTGCCTAACCATTCAGCCCCTAGTCTGTAGCGGTGCATTGGATTCTTCCGTCCTAAGTGCAGGACCCTGCACTTATCCTAATTGAACCTCTTCAGATTTCTTTTGGCCCAATCCTCCAATTTGTCTAGGTCCTTCTGTATCCTATCCCTCCCCTCCAGTGTATCTACCACTCCTCCCAGTTTAGTATCATCCACAAATTTTCTGAGAGTGCAATCCACACCATCCTCCAGATCATTTATGAAGATATTGAACAAAACCGGCCCCAGGACCGACCCCTGGGGCACTCCACTTGACACCAGCTGCCAACTAGACATGGAGCCATTGATCACTACCCGTTGAGCCCGACAATCTAGCCAGCTTTCTACCCACCTTATAGTGCATTCATCCAGCCCATACTTCTTTAACTTGCTGACAAGAATACTGTGGGAGACTGTGTCAAAAGCTTTGCTAAAGTCAAGAAACAATACATCCACTGCTTTCCCTTCATCCACAGAACCAGTAATCTCATCATAAAAGGCGATTAGATTAGTCAGGCATGACCTTCCCTTGGTGAATCCATGCTGGCTGTTACTGATCACTTTCCTCTCATGCAAGTGCTTCAGGATTGATTCTTTGAGGACCTGCTCCTTGATTTTTCCAGGGACTGAGGTGAGGCTGACTGGCCTGTAGTTCCCAGGATCCTCCTTCTTCCCTTTTTTAAAGATTGTATATGTACCAGGCTTTGTTATCCCAAGGGGAATCTCTATCATGCTTCAGACTAAATGCACTGTTTCCAGATTTATTAACAACAAAGATAAATTTTAAGTGATTAAAGTCAAAGCATAACAAGTCAGATTTGGTCAAATGAAATAAAAGAAAAATGCATGCTAAGTTGATCTTATCACTTTCAATGTCCTTAAAAACTTACATGCTCCTCACCACAGGCTGTCTGGTTGCTCTTCACCCAGGCTCTCCTCTTTGATAAGCACTTCAGTCACTTGGTGTGGGTCTGTAGATGGAGGTGGAAGAGAGATGAAGAGCATGGAAAATGTCTCTCCCTTTTATCTTGTCCTTTCTTCCCTCTTGGCTTTGCCCCTCCCCCCTTCAGAGTCAGGTGTGCATTACCTCATCGCAGTCCCGAACTGACCAAAGGAAGGGGGGTGACTCCCTCAAGGGTTTAATAGGTTAATTTTGTTGCTGCCTAGGCCAGCGTCCATTGCTCCTGTGAGGCTGGGCTGTGTTTCTCCCATACCTGCCCTGATGAGGTGTGAACTACCCCTCTGCTTTGGAAAGTTT